CAGTGGTATGAGGCCGCGGACGCAGGCATGCGGTAATAACGCGAGACATCTGTGGTCACATTGAGTGACAGGGCACCGAGACTGGCTTTGGAATACCACTCGGCTGCTGGCTCTAAGAAATCGCGTAGGTTTGATGGTGGATCATTGGAAGGTGCTGGTGCGTCTGAAAAATCGACAAATATCATAAAGGCGTTTAGTGTCCCGGTTCCGGAGACACAGTCGTTAGGGAAATCGAAGCCGACGCTCGAATAAACATCACTGCGTCCTGGAAGCTTACAAGCTTCAACCGACGGCTTGACTATGGGAGGACTGGGTGTGCTGTCTGGAGGCTGGGGGGTTGTTGTTGTCGTCGTTGGGCGAGATCCGCAGCTTCTGCCTACTACGGCAGCCGCTAGGGTAAACATTCCAAAGATTGTGTTTCTCATCTTGATAAGGTCAAAGTTGTTGAAGCAAATTGCTGGTAAGCTCAAAAGGTCTCCTAGGCTCTTATATACACTAACCGACCGTTCTCTTGTTTCACTGATGACATTGCTTTTCACGACATGTTATCATCCTACTAAGCCACTTCAGCTTCAGGACATAGTGACTCAGCCATGCAGGTAATAAGCGGCGAGGTAAGCGGGGACCTGAGCTACGATGGGCAGTTTTGGTAGTTGCGCACGGACAACAAGCGGTGACCTTGCGTTTCATCTATTATTTTAAACCAATAACTGTTCAACATCAAGCTGGGGCTGACAATACTTTTGTCGAGCTAGGCTATTGTGAGAGTCCGGGGTAGATGTCGGCGAAGTCAGTCGGCGGGATCCAATTTCAGCTGGGAATGACCTGCAGGAAAATGCAGCTAGAGGACCAGATTCTCGGCCTTTGTGGAAAGTAAGGAGATTTTCCCTATTGTCTCTTGCGTTCCACTTTGCATTACGAGAATAGAGGGGTCAGCTGACGAAATTGGAGATTTCTTCAGCCAATTATTTTCTATATCCAATGCCCTCTAAAGCCACTTAGGCACCATGTCTCAAGAAATACGAGGCACCAGGCGTTAATCTGATCATAGCGTCATCGATCCAAGCTCGAATAAAACTAGAGCTCTTATCTGAGACATTAATTAAGACTTGGTACTTAGTATTCTGGAATGTGTCCATCGAGCACGAGATTTTGGCCATTGCCCCTCCACCTCCCATCAGCTACCCACTTCATTCTGAATAGGGGATGAAAAATTAATTAGAGGTCTCGAAGAAAGCCTCGAGGAAGGATTCTGGACAAGAAATAATATCAGTCCTAATATTTCGTGTATCACCCGCAAGGAGACAATTATAGCAACATAGTATTGAGAGTGTATAACGCAAGGGGAGCTTCCATGGACCCCTTGAATTACCGTTTTGTATGATTTACGTATATAATGTGATCCTAGCCCATACTGGAGCCATTGATCGAGATTCGGAAGGTGTCTGTCTAACTGCGAGGAATAAGAGTTTACCATGGCTGGAGAGTTCTCTCTTGCTCAAACACTGGGAACACGCTGGGCCACATTCATTCTTGAAAGTCGAAATTTGGACCTCCATCCGTTCTTGATGGGCCTGGTAGGGGAAACATTAGCGGAAAATTGCCCTTCATGATTTGAATTATAGAAGACTCAGGCTTGCAACAGAGCGGTTGGCTATTTGGGTTCTTTGCTAAATTTGAAGGGTTCGTGTTTTGGTGTAGTCTTGCAGTATTAATCGAATAGATCTGAATAGACAGTAACAAATCTGGGTGCTGTCCCGCTGTAAAGCTCCTTTCTGAGTTTCTAATCTAACCAAAGGGCCGGTATGGTATCATTACTGAGAGATAGCCGAGCATGAATAACCTGATGCAAATTCAAGCACGAGTGGGGAAGAGGATGTGTTGCTTCATTAAGACATGTAGGAGGTGGGGAGCAATACACCTTTCAAGGGTCATAAATAACCAACGAGAATACAGACAATCCTACGAACCAAGCCCAAGAGGGGGTTTCAACGGAGGAAATGTTGATATTGCATTTAGTTCTGTAGCCATGTTTGATTATAGTAGTTGATTCTTTCGAGTGGTGTATGCAGGCCGCATGGAGCCGCCAAACGTCTGTTTGTCAATACATGATCTCTAGAAAGTGTAATGCTCGCCGAGCTATATTATGCGGTGAAAGCAGTATACTAGAGGTACCGTCTGAAGTGTGGCGTGATAAAACTAAGTTTTGGGACCATAGAATTTTCTTCACTTATTGACTAGGTACTAGTCCAATATTTTATCTTCTCTTTGCGGTTTTGGACAACTACAGTATTGTCCATAAACCGGGTAACCAAGTTACATGCTTGTTCGGCACTCAGATATGCCAATATTCGGTCATACTTGTCGTGAGTTTGAGAGGGTATATTTGTGGAGGTGTGTTGTCTTTCGATTTTAGGAGAGGTGTGTTCGATAAGTTGCTCAAAGAGGGGGCGTAAGTTATTAAAATTAGCGTGTGGGATTGTCTCTTGGAGAAAGCCTCGTAGATCAAAAACATCGACATCTTCAGACTGTAACTCGACATCTCTTTTGGCACGACTTTTTGCCAAAATCTTTCGTTTCGGCCGCACAAAGGCGCAGTGAAATTTGGTAGTAACGTTTTTATCGGTAGCAACCGCTTCCAAGTCCAGAGATTCTGGGAAGGATACCGTGCGAGTTAGCAGCACGGTCCACTGGCCTGGGACAAGGTCCCTCATTTCTGAGTAGCGGCCACTCAATCTAACAGAGCGGAAGCTGAGTCTGCTGAAATTGAATATGTCCGCAGGTAGAACATTTATTTCCCCGATTTCCCCATCTGATAATGAGGATGAACTGGCTGCAAAGCACATGGCGGCATCAAATCCACTTGTATTATCGAACGAGGCACGCAGCCCAATCATATTTCTCATATACCGAAACAGGCCAGTGATGAATCTCGTTGGGCTAAGGAAAGCGTCCCCAAGGAAGAAATATTCATAGGGCCACACCGGCAACAACTTATCCACGGCGCCTTCTTTGCCATGGGTCACCAGCAACTGAACGATCGGAAAGGATTCAACCAGGGGCGGAGCCGCACTTGTATCTGGAAAGAGCTGGCCAGATCGAGGTCGAAATGGACGAGACATGAGGCTAGACATGACCAATCTATTGATTTTTGGTTGCGGCGATAATGTGGTGAACTCTGTGCTTATACTTTTACTAGACTCATCGTCTAATCGAGAAGGGGGCTCAAGTAGGTAAATGTTAGGATGGGCGAGGTGTGATAGCGAGGACCAAAGTTCACTTGTTGCCTGGGAGAATTTTGTGCCAGACAAATTGATAGAAGCGACCTGCTGGCGTGACAAAGTCTGAAGGGCAGACGATAAACCTGCAGCGTCCAAGTTTACGAACGCTGACCAGTCAAGGTGCTGTTCTCCTTCGTAGACAAGACCAAGAAGAAACAAGGATACGGCGGTCTTGCCCACTTCATCCGCCCTTTCGAGTATAGCGTCTCGAAGAATAGGTCGGACATTGGGCACTTGTTGGATAAAATCTGTGATGGGATTGAGGTCGTCCTGATCATTGTGGAATAGGACAGCATCCACCAAAGCTGCGGCGGTTTGCTGTAAGAGCCCCTTTGGCCCAAGCAGCGAACCAGACTTGTCAGCCGGGTAACCAGCCACATTCCAAGAGACCCAGGGCCACAGATCTTTGTGTAAATATTAGTTTGAAGCATAATTCAATACGACCTGGGATGATACTTACCTGCGAGAGTATGGGTGGTGATGAGAGGCACCTTCTGGAGTGATTCTGGAACATGGATGTTCTGTTGGACTATTCTGTCGCTGATCTTGTAGAATGATTCCAGATATTGCCACCCATTAAGGGGTTCGTTCACAATGCGTGGCAAGCGTTCCTCGGTTTTTTTAGGCTCTTCTGCTTGCTATTAGATTGCGACCCGATGATATCTGAGCGGAGGTTGATTTTACGTGGCATATTCATAAAGCAATACTTAATATTACCGGGGTCTGTAATATCAAGAATAGTCATGTCGTCTTCTGTATCTTCTTGGCCATATCCGACCCCGAAGAGTTCCTCGAACACCACGTCTATCCGGCCATTGTCGCAGTCGAAAGAGCCGCCGACAATGAGACAAGTCGTCGTGAACGGAAATGGACAGGGGCGATGAAATGCATCTGCATTTTCCAGTGCGTCCGTCGGTAATGCAGCAGGTGGTGGTTGATCACGGAAGAACTCTTTGGCAAAGCGAAGCTCTTGTTGGAGTGGAATCCGGTTTTTCGGATGCGAGAAAATTCGGAGGAGCAACAGACAGCGCTTGAGGACTTCCAGGCCAGACAGATTAGGGTTCTCAATAGCCGCCAGCGATCGATAGTAGTTGCCGGCCTTGGCGATGACGAAAATCTGGTGTTTCATAGGGGGCAGCCAGAGCGTGTATCGTGTACGCGCCCACGACCTTGTGCGCGTCCTGATAACGGACGCAGAATGAGGGCCTTGGGCAGAGTGGATGAACGAGACGCACGCCAAGGACCTGCGAGGGAGTTAGTGTCGACCTTGGTGTGATATTTGATTTGATGCGACTTGCTGACTAGCAAATCTGTGTGATGCAACTCCCCACTTGAGGCCGGCCTACCCTAAATACACGAGCGCTCATCACACGGAGTACAGCAAACTCGCTCCTCACCACTTGGTAAGTTACAGGTGGTCTAGTTGAGGTGATGTTCTGGTTTTGAAATACGCATACGCAAAGAGTTCAGAAACATAACAGGGTTTTGGCAGAATACATAATCTACGCAAAATAAACGCAACACAAACCCGATTTCTAAAGCTAGCCTGTATTCTTCCTGCAATTATTATTATCTGGCAATCTACTTCTCAGACTTGGACACGAATGGTCTTAGCTGTTTACGTCGTTTTCAGTTCTATAGCTTGAGAAATCAACTAAATTCCTGCCTTTCAATGATTGTTATGGGCATGTCGAACCATTAGACTTGACCAAAACCCCATTACTTAACTCCGAACTTCATTTTCCACCTCTCAAAACTTTGAAGCTTACTCTTGGCTAAAGAAGACATGGTTAATGACCATTGAACACCCAAGCCCATCACACTCCTGTCCTAAGAAATGCGCAACTCCATACCACCTATAGCTATATGAGTAAACCTGAGTATTTACCTCATAAGCTTTGAGACAAGTTCACCCTCATCCTCATCATACCGAATAGCTCCGAGTGGTGGCCGCGCGGATTTGTATCCAGCCATAAAGACTGGTTGTCTCTCAGCCACGAAATAGAAGAGATAATCACAATACGGAGTAGGCTCTGCTAAATCTCCGTCATCAGGGTCCCAGTCCTCCCACCAGTCCAGCGGGCACTGGCCGTAAGCGACTTCGCCGTCGCGGTTAGTGAATTTCCACAACTCTGTTTCGTGTCCCCTAGGCTTATTTTCTTTTCCGATTTGGTGGACCCAAACCTCTCCATCGTCGCTATCTTCGTGGTAGTATCGATCAAAAACCCATCTGGGCGCATTAGCGAGATAGGACTCTGAAGGGTCTGTCTCATTACTCTCATTTTCCAATTTAGCACCCACTTCCTGCATCAAAACCTCTTCCCCATCGAAGGTGAATAGGAAGCGAGTAGAACGAGAGCCTTTCATATAACGAAAGAACAAGCTTTGACCAGGGCACCCGTTACCAGACCCAATGACGGGGGTTGCGCCACTGTTGACGTAGTTCAAAAGCATGTCTTCGGGTACATGCATAGAATCTCCAGTGACTCTGTTGTCGTAGATTCTTAGAGACCGGAGAGACAGTCTAGGGCACCTCTTGGCTAGTTCGTTTATTAGGTCGAAAGAGACTTTGGTATCCTCCAAATACAAATGACGCAGGCTTTCCTCGCTATGCTTGATGAGGGAGAGGAGCTGTTGTCCATATTTTCCAAGGAAGCAAAAATTCGAAAGCGAGATAGAATTCAATCGGGACCATTGAGTTTCGTCATCATCATCGATGCGTAGTAGCTTTAACTGGAGCGTGTCATTGCAAAAGCAATCACGCAACTCAAGAGAAAGATGGCGAACGTTTCTGCAGGCCTCAAGGCAAGCTTGAAGAGGAGCGTAATTGTCCTTGCTGCTCCTTGGATTGACAGAAAGGTGCATTGAGACGAGATTTTGAAAGCCTTGGTTTGATGGCAATGGTCGAAGGTAGCTGGCTCCGTGAGACTCATCGTGCCATAGCAGTCGTGTAATGGGATGATTCTCTAGGGATTCTATGGCAGGCAACAAAAAATGGCAAAGCCCATCGCTGCCAGGATATTCCCAAGCGCAAGACTTCCCGGGTATGGAAAGATGATGGTCTTGGAACACCTTGACCTCGAAAGGGTATTCGGAACACCAGTGGAGCAAACGATCTGCTGGCATTGCTTGAGAAATGACAGTGCAAAGGTTGGGAAGAAGCCGCAAAGATTTGCAAAACTCGCCAAGAAATCCACTGATTGCCTGATCGCGCCGCTTTGTGACAGTATCGCCATTTAAATCCGGCTGGGCTAGGGAGAGGGCTGGGAGCCAAAAAAGACGATTCGCGAGCAAGTCCAGAGTTTCTACAATATTTCGAAACTCTGTATTGTGTACTTCTTTTCCATCTCCTTGATCTGGTAGTTGTGCAAAATACCCAGGGAACCATGATATTTCCTGCCACTCGATCTCGTACACATGTTGAGCCAAGTGTGGAGAATTGCAAATGGCGATGAATATGTCCCGGTCATGGTAGAGCTGGGAGATGTATATCCGATGAAACAAGATGGAAGTTGCGGCGTGAACGAAGGCTCGGCAAGTTAGTCGAAGTGCAGTGATGTCTTCTTGGGTGAGGGCATCATCTTCAAAAATAATTCTGAGGATGATTTCGGGAAGCCTAGTGATGGAAGTCTTGGGTGAAGCCATCAATAGAAGTTGTCCAAGTAATTTGTCAATAATTTTCTCTGCAAGTCGCGAAAGAACAGATGATTATGGTGAAGCAAAAGAAAAAACCAACGTGGAAGAAGGAAAAAGAAAATTCACAAGTGCTCATTCGGTACCTAGGTACTCAGATAGTGAATGATTACGTAGTCATTGTGCACGGCTGTGCGTGATTCACAGCAAACACCAGACAACTGAATTAACTTCGGTTAGACTTTGAGAAAACACATGTTAATCTAGCCGTTCCCGCAAAACAGTGAAATTAATGCGTCCGTGATAGAACTGGGTAAATGGATTCCTTGTTCCAAAAAGCAAGTCAAGCCCTTCACATATAGTTGGCAGGGTTCAAACGCTGGCCGGTAGAACAGCAGGATGAGATCCCAACCATGACTGATTTAAGGCAATAGTGCTCCAGTGGCATAAGTCCTTGCATAAATCTACTTGGAAAGCGCTAGTTTCCAACCAAGGCAGAGTATTGGACAAAGCATTTAACGCACCAGGCTCCAGTTGCCACAAGGACAGGTTAACCATAGAGCAGGGGTTGTCTGACCTTTTTAGCGAAACTCCGCCCTTGCCCAAATTATGATGCTGGATCTTTGTATAGCTCCTTCATACACTTCCCTCCGAAGGATTCCGGGCGACTCAGTTACCGGGCTAAAACTAGAAAATCTTGCGGAGTGCGGAGTTTTGTGGTGGAGAGGTGCGGAAAAGATGTTTGGGCTCAAACGAAAGATAAAAACCTTTTGCCTCACCACAAACGACACGCGTTCTATTGTATTTCAATACGCTGAAATACGATACTACCATTTAGCTTCCCAAGGTTAGTGCAATCTATTTGACCAAGCCATAACCTTATCTTTGCAAATTACCAGCATTGAACACAAGTGCAACCATAATGGCAGAGCCAACTCGAAAGTATGGCATATTGGTACTTGGGGCAACTGGTTATACGGGGAAGTTAACAACACACTTCATAGCTCAACAACTACCCAATGACCTTCAGTGGGCCATTGCTGGGAGATCCAAGGCGAAGCTCCATGAACTTGCAGCAGAATTGAGGTTAAACCACCCAGACAGGTCACAACCAAGTATGTTTTGCTGATGTCGACGGGTTCAGTCCGGTACTAAGGGTGCTAACATACAAGCAGCCATTGAAATCGTTGACCTGGAACATAAGAAGCAGGTCGAAGCTGTTGTGCAACAAGCACGAGTCTGTATTAGTGTCGTGTCTTACTGGACAGTCGGAACTACAGTGGTGGACGCGTGTGTCAGGCACCGAACTGACTACGTTGATACGTAGGTCAGCACAGAGCTTTTCTTAAGGTTCTAAGCTAACAATAGCAGTTCTGGAGATATCCCTCTTATCCACTCGTGGATTAACAAATACCACGAGACTGCCAAAGTGTCCGGTGTAGCTGTAAGTCAATTATTTTGGGATCGTAGTGACCATGATGGCATCGTTCTAACGACCCTCAGCTGATTCACGCTTGTGGCGTGTTCGCGGGACCCGAGGATCTTCTATCATGGGCGGCAGCCCGTGAATTAAGAGATTCGTTTGGCGAAAGCACAAGGGAGGTCGTCTTAGCAGTTAAGGAACTGACGTAAGTCATCTTATTTTTCTTTACCTTGATTCACCCCAGCTGAATTTCAGACAGTTCTGATCCCAGCGGTGGCACTTTTGAATCTATCCTACAGGGTGAAGCAGATCAACTACAGATCGACCAGGCCAATGAATCGAAGGATCCATGGCATCTATCTCCAATAAAAGGCAGCATCGTATCTCCGCAAACAAACATGTTCCACCTACGCAAAGAGCCCGATCTTGGTCTGCTATCGGACTCTACAGTTGGCATTTTGACGAATCGCGCCATTGTCCATAGGACCTGGGGTCTACTACAAGGCTCGAGGAGTGAATATGGACCGAACTTCCAGTACAACGAGTATCAGAGCGTTAACTCAACATTGGCTGGACTCTCAGAGCTTATCAAGTCAAGTTTCATAGAGACCCTGATGGCTAGTCCGCTTTTATTGAAGCTGTTACGTCTCTTCATGCCAGCTCCAGGCTCTGGTCCCGATGTCAAACAATCCGAGAAAATACCTGTCAAATTTCAAGCGGTGGCTAAACCAGAAAATGAGAGCTCTCCGAAGGTTTTTGCGAGCTTTTCCTACCCGTCCGGTTCCTATCACACCACGGCGCTTTTTCTTGGCCAAGCTGCGGCATCATTGTTGTATACTAAATCGCTTGAGGGTGGATTAAAGGGCGGTTGCCTGACGCCTGCCACTCTGGGACCAGACTTCTTGGAGAGGATCAGAGCGTCTGGAGCTACAATAACACTTTCATCAACCCGACAATAAGGCACAGGTTTGGCGATGATAACGATTTGAGTTTGTTCAGTACATGAAGAAAATCTTCCCATGATTGGGTGCCGAGTTGTAGAGTTATCTAATACGAGCAAGAAGGTGTTTCTCATATATTAGTAGTCTAGTTCAGTTTGCATAACCGCTTCAAGTACCTATCAGTCCCTGTTCATTGACCTCAGGGGCCACTCTCAAACCCACCTTAAGTCTGCTCGTTCTCAGCCTCAGTTTTGGCCGGATACTTATTGCTTCTGTGTGAAAACCAGATTAGCAGCCCAATTATCCCAAGCTGCACCACGGAAGTAATCAGGCCGCTGAGAAACCCAGTCTCAAACCTAGGGGCCTCGATGGCCGGAAACTGTAAAAGCTGGCTCCAGGCCACAATTGCCTGTCCGATAGCATTCATACTGGCCGTGACCACTGCCCTCTCCTCGGCATCGTTGGCCATGGTCACGGTCGCCCATGACATGCTAAGAGGGAACAAACCACCCTCTACACCGGATATCATGAAGGCTGCCAGCCTTCCAGATTCGCCCACATTCCAAGCCACCAGCAGCGCATGTGAGGCAATCACCGGAATTGTTACGGTTAAGAGCATTGGCCAAAATCTTTCAATGCGATCCGCGATAACGCAGGTAATAAATGCCGTGATGATGGAGATGGCAGTCGCCACGGTCGGCAGCGTGTTGATTTGCGTAATGGAATAGATGTCTGAATTCCCCTTGAGATACAAACTAAATGGCGTGCCTGAAACCTGGTTGTTTTGGTTTCCAATGGACCATAGGGCCACAAATAGATACCAGTGCCATCGACGGAATACGCGGGCAAAAATATCCCTGGACACCTTGAGCTGGGATGGCGCCGTCTGTCCGGCGATACGATCGCAGGCAAGCTTGTGTTCCTCTTCGTTTAGGCACCTAGGCTTCTTGCGGTGTGGCACGTCGGGGAAGACAAAGAATCCCAGGAACGAAATCGGGATGGTGATGATGGCATCGACGATGAACAGCCACCTCCAGCCCGACAAGCCGCCAACACCCCTGAGGCCACGGTAGGCCGCTGTTTGTAGATACCCGGCAAACATGGTTCCTAGAGGTGCGGCAGCGTAGAAAAAGGCCACACGCCTCGCAATCTCTGTCTTGCGCATCCACGAGCCAATCACGTAGATGACACCAGTAAAGGAGCATGCTTCAAATAGACCAACAAAAAAGCGCATCGCGTACACCGTCTCAACGTTCCTAGCCCAAGCGAGTCCGAATGTTGTGATTCCCCAACCGATCTCGCATAGGGGCAAGACGATGTTGACAGGATATCGTGTTAGGTAGTAGCAGGCAGGAATCATTGATACGCAGTACGAGCTCCAAAACGCAATAGTGGCATAGTTGAGCTCGTTCCCCAGCATGTTCAGCTCTTCCTTCATTCCGCTAGAAGTGGTGATC